TTACAGTGTAGATGATAGTGTAGCGTTTAGACGTTAATATCCAGTGTAAATTAGGTATAAATCTAAGAGCGGTATGGAAGGACAGGGAACGCCCGGTAAACGCGTTTACGATCCATGCGCGGGGTGGCGCGGGCGCGTGCCGACGCACGAGAGAGACACGCGCCCACGCACCTCGGAGAGGATATACAGGTTGAACGTGTTACATGTAAATTATAAAGATACAAGACACTATTTAGCTAGCTATCTGAATTCGAGTGTGTGTGTGTGTAGGTGCCTATGAAGAGTCCGGGACGTATAATTTAAATCTAAAAACTATATATACAGGGTTACCTATGTACACGCATACGCTATTCGCTCGATTCCATATTATTTCTCCTTTTTTCTTCTTTTTCTTCTTCTTCTTCTTTTTTTTTTTTTATTTCCCGGGTTCCACTCGCCTATCGCGCACGATCACCATGCCCCACCACTTGTCCTGCTAATGGGCCACCGACATCGTTGCTCGATGCTCGCTAATCTTTTTCTACATACAGTACATACATTTCCCGATTCCCTGGCCCCGCCGAGTTTCCGATTATATAAAGCTCTCCGGGCCATCCTCGATTCCCATCGTCGATTCCTTCCTTTTTACACACCGTCTCTCTAATGAACGCGAAAAATACTCTCGTACAGAGACACGCTCGACGACAATTACGAATCGACGACGAGAGATCGATAAATGGATTCTCATCGGATTTAATAAATTCCTCCTCCTCCTCCTCCTCCACGCGTATTCCATTCAGGTACTGCACGTTGATTCCTCCTATAATTCTTTCGTATTAGAATTGTCATTTATTTAGGAATAAAGGTTACAATTAAGGAAAATTTGCGATCCATCTGCTCAAAATCTTCTCGAATCTTGTTACACTCGAAAGCTCGACGAACGCCAGGAATCTCGGACCAGCTAACATACGATGCAAGATCAATGGAGTAATATAAATGCGTAATATCGTCCCCTATAATATCTAACATAATTACCCCAGCGTAAATGATATTTATTCGCGACACTTTGCTTGATTGTTCTGCTCATATCACCGGCAACTTCTTCTCCAACTTGCTCTATCGAATTATCCGAGCGTATATCGATCCCAAAACAATTCGGTGAATCGACAATCGAACGATCGCCACGGGGAATCAATTCGCGCCTCGAAGAATGGCGGCGTGGAAGAAGTGACGGAAACTTCCTCCTCCTCTTCCTTTCGCACGGTCGATCGTGTAACGACGAGTTTCTTCGACGACGATGATAAATCATCGCTTATCCCGCAACGGATCGTACGTCACGTCACGTACGCCACGTCGAGCGAAGAAACTCGTGGTTCAAGGGAAATAGCGGTTTCTTGTCTCTCGTCCATCCACGCGCTCTGTGCACACGTTGCTCCTCGCTATCTTGCTTCCCTCTTTCGATCGTTCGATCGAATTATTACAATCGTTGTTTAACGCATCGTTAATTCGTTAACATTCGTCCACGACGACGACGATGATGATGATCCTCGGACACCTGCTGCACTCGCTGCGTACCTAGGTCTGCGTGTCATACGTTTCGAACGCGTTAAGAACGTTGAATGGTGACTCGATTTCGGGTCCACGTTTGTCACAAGGCGTTTCTTGTTCTTGTTTGTACGAAGTAAAAATAGGAAACGAAACATAATAGGAAACATTCGATTTCTCGATATTGTGAACGCTGACATTAGCGAAGCGACGATTGGCAGTATCGTACGGCGTATCGGAGCCGACAAAATGTATTGTACGATCGATGATTGAAAAAAAAAAGGAACGGATCTTCGGCGCCTAAAATTAACGTTTCTCTCCTCGAAGGGTTGAAAGGTTATCGCTTCGACTGCTCCTACGATCTCTACACACACAGATCCCCTATGACATTTATCGAATTATCGTATTAAATTGTAAAACGTGGCTACGCGCTTATTTTATTTTATTTTATTTTTTTTTTTACCGATTAGTCCGACTACTTAATGAGGTTTTTTATCTCTTTTTTTATTATTATTATTATTATTATTCTCTACGCTAGGGAGAGAAAGAGAGAGAGAGAGAGAGAGAAGTTTATCATCGACAATCGGTCGTCATGTAAATTGTAAAAGGTATCGAATTGATTTGGATTTTGATCGACGACCGATTAAGACAGGATAAGAACGAAACAGGGGAGAGGAGGGGGAACAGGCACACGCGAATAGTGAAAACACGAGTTTTTCTCGTTCTCCTGAGCGGGAGTTGGGCAGGAAAGGGGAGGAAGAGACGCGAAGCTCCTCGATCCTCGTGCTGCTTTTGACCACACACTGAAACTTTGAAAGCTGCATTCTTCTCGATGCAAATGGAATTCAGGAAAAGCGCGCGCGTTTAAGGACCTCTCGACTACAATGCCATTCTATCGATCCACGGTACACTCTTGGCGCGGGTCCACTCCTTTGCCCGCATAGGTATCATACGTCGTCACTCCTTCGTTTTCATCTCTCTTTCCCCTTTTTTTCCCGATAATTAAAGTGGTGCTTCGCGAGGGCTTAATCAACTGAACGGGTGTCAAATGAGGTACACACGTACACATTGTAGCCGGGATCGAGAATTTGATCAAATTAAACCATCTATCTTATCCACGCGGAGCGTGGATTCGATTAAATGTAAATTTGTCGGAGGGAAAGGAAAAAAAAAAAAAAAAGAAAAAAAAGAAAAAGAAGAATACGATTGATCGATAGATATCGTATTTTCTTTGAGAGAAAAGCAATAAGACGTTAAAGACGATTGCTGATTCCTCGTAATTGGAGAAATTACTCTTCTCGAAAAAACGAATTTTAATTTTTCGTAAATTTCTTTTTTTACAATATTACAAATATATCTTACACTTCCAATCGAATCACATTTTATTTCTTGGCAATTTAACGCAACCAAAGATATATTTAATCGAGCAATTAAATAATTATCTTGTCGTCTCGAGTATCGATTGATATAAAAAAATTGATATAAAAAAAAGAGTAAAATCTCCATTCCACTCTTCCAATTAACTCATAGATCGCTTTCACGGAAGTGAGTCAAAGCACCGCTTTAAATCATCGCGCGAAAAAAAAAGAAAAAAACGGAAACACGTGTCCTCCATTTACGGAAACCGATCGCGCGTAGATCGATGAGACACCGCGTGTATGCCATTCGTAGCGACAAGTGTCCCGCAGCGGGCGGTTGAGAAACGCATCAAGAAACTTAACGTGTATATTCGCTTCGCGAACGTGCGGCGCGCTGAATACAAAACACGCATATATATATATATATATATATATATATATTTGGAAACTTGAGCG